GAAACATTCGTTCTTTTAAATTTATTTCTACAATCTTGTCATCTTTGATATTACTGGTAAAGAACCATTTAGCCATTTTATTTAAAACACAAACAGATTTTATTTTAACAATGAGAAACATAGAACCATTTTTAATTGTATCAATATATATACGTGTGTATATAGAGAATTTCATAGATGCATTTATGTCCCAATCCACAACAGTTTTAACTGCAGTATTTATTTATCTTTTTAAGACTTTTGTCAGGTATATAAATGTAGTATTTGCTAAGTGTCATTAATAATCTTAAGTGCCTTACAAATACTAACTCACTTAAACGTCATATTGATATCTGAGGTATGTACTACTCTGTGTCCATTTTAGATAGGAGAGAACTAAACCACAGAGGGTTTGAATAACATACTGAGCTCACGCAACTAAGAAGAGGTGAAAATGGAATTCATGTTACAGTAATCTTGCTCCTGGGCAATATTCTCCTTTACTATGTTGCCTCCCTCTCAGGCATTCAGGCTTACACCCATCTAAGATAAAATAACCTGTGATTTGTACATTATCATCTGACACATTTTAATAACATCATTCTCATCTCAAAAATTAATTCCTACAATGTAGCTCCACTCTAGGAGTTGGCTGACTATCTAGCATCTCAATGGTGGTCTCGTCTTGATGGCAGTCACATAAGGAATGTTTCTGGGGTCGTGTTTTTGTGTGTTACTGTTATTTTTCCCCCTCAAAAGTGGGTGGCCCTTGAACCTTAGACTAAGGGTGGAGGTCTGCTCAAGTGAGTGACTTTAAAATCAATAATGAGGTGATGGGTCTGTGGGGTGGCCTGGGGCCTGGGGCCTTGGGCCTTGGAGTCTCCCTTCACTCTAGGAGTTGGCTGGCTAGCTAGCATCTCGATGGCAGTCTCATCTTTATGGCAATCATATAAGGGAATTTTCTGGGGTTGTGTCTGTTGTGTGTTACTCTTCTCCCCCTCCCTTAAAAGTAGGTGACCCCTGAGCCTTAGACTAAGGGTGGAGGCCTGCTTGAGGGTGTGGCTTTAAAATCCTGTAGGGCTTAAGGGTCACAGGCCCTCGGGCCAAATTTCTTAATTTTAAAATGAATACACTTTAAAAGACACAGCAATAATTTATCCATTTGCTGTACGGAACAACTTGCAGTTATTGTGATGCTGAACACTATTCCATAATCCTGTCAAATACCATAATGGCTACCCATTATGTACAATGTTTCTATGAGCTTCCAGATTAATTCATGTTGGGAAGTAGGTATGGTATCCACCTCCTAAACTTGATGCCTCTGGAAACTCTACAAACTCTCTTATAAAAGTACAGAAATGATGTTAATTATAGAAGAGAGTTCAGGTCTTTTGTACAAAGCTTACTCTGAGTCGTATTTGACTTGACTTGGCTACCCAATGTGGACAGAGAGTGGGGTGGAGCTCCCCGATTTAAAAAAAGCATGGAAGGAGGAGTGGCATCCACTTCCATAATAGCTTGCTTCCGGAAACCCTATGAACTTGGAGAGAGGATGAAAGGCACCCAAGCGTCAAGGACTCTCTTTCATAGGGTCGCTGAGTTGCCTGTGACTCGA